ATGAATGTATTCACTCATCCATAAAAATTATTAGATCGTTCGGCATGATGACAGGTTCCATAATTCCACTTGTGCGTCATCAACCTACGCCTTTGTTATTGTAAGAGTTTAGCGACCCCTAGAGGCGAAAAAATTACATTGTAGCTTTAAAGGGTTATTTCACCCAAAAATAAAAATCACCTGTATGACAAGTAAACATGACGCAACAGGTCGCTCGCATGAATGTAATTTCGCTTGTACGTAGCAAACTTTATCACAGAATGTGTATGTAGTGTCAAAAAATTGCGCCAGCGTTAGTGTTTGTGTGTGTGTGTGTTCCACATCCATAATAGCAAATGGGACGCGATTACAACTCTATAAGTACATAAATCTATCAAATAACCATACCGAGACTTTCTGGTCCATTCTCATTTGTGTTTATTCTGCCGGAGTCTCTACGTACTATTTATATAGACCCCTTTTCAGTTGGTAAACATGGTGACATTTTTTTTGTGGGCGGAGCTTAGGTGGAGGCAGAACGATCCCTCTGGCCGCTTCACTAACGCTACTTAGCAAGGATTGTTAGCTTGTTTTTTTAACAATGACTGGAGAAAAAACGATTTTATCTTAATGTGCAAGGTCACTCAGTGTCCAGGACCGCGATTGTTATTTCCAAAAGTTATCTTTAACAGACGGAACCAGACTGGCCGACCTGTAGCCGCCTACACACTCACTCAATGCATGGATGATTTGACAGGATTAACGTTACGTTACCTCGGTTGAGTGGCCTGACTTCTACACCTACCTTATAGAGAAACCGATCGTAAAGAGAAACTGAGGGCATATAAATCTTTAGATGCCTATATGGTCCTGTACAAGACTTGTGTGTATGATCTGCAGTTCTGCCGAGCCAACGCCGAGACGACCACAATGTAAAGAGTGACATTACAGTGTGATTTTAATGATGTGAACGATGTTTCTAGAAATAAAAGTTCCAGATACAGCATATTCATTTTTCATCAATTCTTGCACCAAAACACACAAGATGACATTTAATAACAGTAACAATAATTTAAGCTCCTTATTATGTAGCCGAATCTGTGCTGTTTTGTATTGGCTGCCTCGAGTTTTCACTTTGTTTTGCCTCCAGCTAGCGCTGTGACGCAACCAGTGTTGTGCAAGTTACTTCCAAACTGTAATACATTAGGTATTACTTGTTACTTTTATTTAAAAGTAATTCATTACCTTACAATATTACTGTCTCAGAAATGCGTTACATTACTCATGTATTACTTTTGAGTTACTTTCACCAAAATAACTAAGTAGAACTTAACTTTGGGGCTTTAACGATATGCAATATGAAACCGAAATCGCCATTCGCCACACGACTCAGATCCACGAACCTACAGAATCGCGACACACCTCTTCCAACTCCAGTGTTATTCTCCTACTGTCCAGATCCAATGCTGCCTTATCTTTAAATTAGGCTATTACTATTATTTGAAGTTAACATTTGAAGTTAACCACAAAACTAGTTGAGGATAAATTATTAAAAATTGGGGAAGTCCAGCATTATGGACATGACATTTGCAGTCAAAACTTGAAATAAAAATTCTCAGAAAATACATGTATTGAAACGTATATAGGCTACTTCCTTAAAGGACTCCAGACATTAGACAAATATCAGTCTATGTTTTATTTTTAATATTAGGGAAAAGACACACATTCATGCGTGACAAAAAAATAGGAGGCAAAATATATTTTTTGTAATTCTGTTAATTACACTGCGCAAATCGGATGAATCGGAAGGGTTGGCTCTCCAGTCTCCATAGAACTTAAAATATTCATTTTATTTTAGTTTTCATGTTCGCATTTATGAGGAAAAAACAATGTTACAGACGCGACCGCTCTGAACTGGCACTAAAAGACTGCTTTAAAACTTTCACATAGTCTGTTGACTTTAAGAAGTAAAAGCAGACAATACACTGTAATACAACTGTAATACAAGCCTCACTGAACATGTAAAGAGTAAAATATTACTGAAAATTGATTAGTAATGTCTTACACTACTGCGTTACAGCAAAAAGTAATATGTTACAGTAATGTATTACTTTTGTAATGCGTTACTCCCAACACTGGACGTAACTGTGATGTTGCGCAAAAGGGGTCTATATTCCGATTCAAACGTAGGCTGAATGACATTCAAAACAGCGGTTTCTCTCACTCTCTCAGTACCGACTGCCATAGGTATCAAGTTACGCCCTCATCCAAAGGCAGGGTGGGGATATGCAGCACATTTGCATTTAAGGTGGTATACACACGAAACAGCTCATTTTTAAACAGGGCCCAAAAATACATTTTCAAATGATTATAATAAATTAACTGTGGGGTATTTGAGCGGGGGATACCCCATTTTGAGTGTGGGGTATTTTGAACGGGGGACACCCAAGACCAATATTACATCTTGTAAAAAGGTGCATAATAGGTGCCCTTTAACGATGACTTTAATAACTTTTCAAGATTCAATTCCTCAAGAAGCCTATGGACTAGTATGCAGGAGTGATCCAGCTCTCAGATTTCATCAAAAATATCTTAATTTGTGTTCCGAAGATGAACGAAGGTCTTACGGGCTTGGGACAACATGAGGGTGAGTAAATACTGACAGAATTTTCATTTTTGTGTGAACTAACACTTTAAGTTACAAATAAATTATTGTTAGTAGGCTACATTAGAAACAAGGTACTGTAATGACTGAATATAACAGAAAATAAAACAGCTAAATCTTTACAGTAAAGTGCTTCTGTTTAAAATGAAGTATCCTTTGGAATACATGTCTGATACTAAAAATACCATGGTAATGATCATGCGGCTAAATCATGACTATTTTTAAGATGCTTTATCAAGAGCTAACACCAAAACACTATCAAAAACAATACAGCTGCTGAGGGTTTCCTGAAGCAAGGACTCCCACTTCTGTTGAACTTGGGCAAATACACATTGGCCTACTATACATCCATGCAATTTACCAGAGCACTTACTTATCTTTTACATATTTGACAGACAAATAAAAAGATTGTTCAATCCTGACAAACATCCATGAACTTAAATTTTATTAAGATTCAAGGTTCCTTGAAAAAAAAAAAAAACAACCAGTCTCAACCCAAAGGACAACATTTTGATTAATTCAGTGACTTGATACTTTTAACTCAGTTCAACAAAAAGGTTAGTGGTAACACTTTACATTATGTATGCACTAATAGGCATTAATTCATGTTTAACTAATGCACAGATAATCATGAGTTATTGTATAGCTCATGAAGAGCTCATAATTAATTAATTATTACTGCATCAGCAACTAATAAAGAGTCTATATATGATTAATAGATTAAGTAATACATGAATTTATATTAATTGAATGTGTATTAATTCCTTAATAACATATTTTTTAAACTAACAGTGTAAATTAATGTGTTAATTACCAATTAGGCAAACTATGCACATCAACTTCAGGTTGTCTGCTTTAATCATTAGCTAATGATTTGTAATATCATTATGCTATGACTTTACTTGAGGCACATTTGGGTACATCCCATCCAGACTAAAATGCTTCAGTGAATGAAATAAATGAGTGCAAATAAGTGCATGTGCAAATGATTCAGAGATGTGTTCTTATTTATGCCTAGGTCTGATGATTTGTTCACAAACAAAACACCACATTTTAAATAATAATCAATCCTTATACAAAAATAAAGTTAAAAAAATGTGAAATAATGTTATCAAAAAATAAGAAATAATTATTTGTACGCACAGATTAATAAATATTTTCATACAGCACATATGAATAAGTTCTACAAACAACAAATGCTGTTAAAATGCTTTTATTTTGAGAGTTTTCCCAATAAAGGTGCAGTTAATTTAATGTTTGCCATTTTCATTCACTTTGGGTATTCAAAACAATAGCCACTCCATCAGTCCGTATGTAGCCTTTAGCTATCAGATGCTTCAATATTTGCCAGCTGTTAGATGTCAAAAAAACAAAAATACACTACCGGTCAAAAGTTTTAGATCAGTAAGATTTTTTTTTGTTTTTAAATGAAGTCTCTTCAGCTCACCAAGGCTGCTTTATTTGATAAAAAAAAAAAAAAAAAAATGACAAACAGTAATATGTGAACTATTATGACAATTTAAAATGACTCTTTTCTATTTTAACATATTTTAAAATGTAATTTGAAAGCTGAATTTTCAACATCATTACTGTTGCTGATTACACATCAGTTTTCAGTGTCACATGATCCTTCAGAAATCATTCTAATATGCTGATTTTATGCTAAAAAAAAAAAAATTATTATTTTCAATGTTGAAAAAAGTCGTGTACCATTTCCCCCCTAAAATTCTATGATGAATAGAAAGTTCAAAAGAACAGCATTTATTTAAAATATAATCTTTTCTAACATTATAAATGTCTTTACTGTAACTTTTGATCAATTTAACTCATCCTGGATGAATAAAAGTATTTTCTAATTTCTTTCCCCCCCAAAAATAAAAAATAAATTCTAACTGACCCCAAACTTGAATAGTAGTGATTATGTTACAAAAGCTTTCCATTCAGATCAACTCTGTTCTTTTGAACTTTCTATTCGTCAAAGAATCCTGAAATAAAAATGTAAAAAACTGTTTTCAACATGGATAATATTCATAAATGTTTCTTGAGCATCATATTATAATAATTTCTGTAGGATCATGTGACACTGAAGACTGGAGTAATGATGCTGTAAATTCAGCTTTGATCACAGGAATAAATTACACTTCACTATATATATTCACATAGAAAACCACTGTTTTAAATTGTAATAATATTTCACAATAATACTGTTTTTTGCTATTTATTTTTATCAAATAATTGCAGCCTTGGTGAGCAGAAGTTCTTCTTTTAAGTTCTAACTTCTTTTAAAAACAAAAAATTTTACCGATCTAAAACTTTTGACCGGTAGTGGATATCTGCTGTTTTTTTTTTCTTCTTCCTGAGATTCATACATGGAATGCAAAAAATACTGCACAATAAATTAAACAATATAAAATCCACATTGAACAATAAACAAGTACACAAGTATACTTAACTGGCAGGTTTAAGAGGAAAGTGTTAAATTCTGTGAGAGCTTGTAGCTATGGCATCTATTTAGTCACGTATTAATCACTCCAGTATAGTTGGACCTGTAATGAATATAAGTGGACCATTCTTTAGTTAAAACACACAGGTGTTGATCTGTGGAGCAGCATAAAAATGATTTAGAAATCATTATAAAACTCAAATTTGCGCATTTATTTTTTACTTTTTTTGTCCTGTTGTCAAACTTGTTTTCCTATGAGCCGGATAATCATTGTTTAGATGTAACTAGCTGGGTATTGTTTGATATCCCAGTAGTTTAACAATCTATTGTACACTGCTGAGCAATACAGACTAGGAAAAATATGTATAGCTGCTTTTTAATTTTGAGGTGAAGTATTAACTGTACTTCAGTTGTGTTTAGCACATCATGTGCCAAATGGAACTTACTTAGGAGCCCAATTTTATCCAACGACTGAACACAACAGATGACACTGTCAAGGCGAACACATTAAACAGTTTAGATGAACAGTGTGCTGCATTTGACATTTTGCAGACATTCAAAAGTGTTTGATGTATTGTACAGGTTATACAAAATAACCTTCCAAAAAGACTAGCACTGAAGTTCTGGCACAGAGTTGCAGCAGGTTTCGAAAACCAAAGGAAGTGAGTGATGAGATCTGATTGGTGTTTTGAGTTGTTTATTTTGATTACAACAATATTGCGCAGTAATCCTTTTCACTTTTTTCACAGGTTTGGCACTTTGTTGTGATCTTCACTTGCCTCAATTGCGTAGTCTGAATGCGTTTGCTTGTGAAAGTGTGGGTTGAGGTCACCCAGGTTCCAGGTGCCTAAAAACTTCCACAGCATATTCTGCTATACCACAATTAGTTCTTTTCCTCCATTTCGACAATCCAACAACATCCCTGTAATTCCAATTGCGTATCATCTCACCAGGAAATGACCACAACCAACTGCTCAATTCCATAAACATAATTGTTAGTTCCTTAAATAACTTTCCAGACCCTTCTGTGCTCCTCTTGAGAGTGTCTCGAAGGGCCGTCCCGTTAAAAACACGGGGATCACTGTTACACACCCAATTTTAGTCCTGGGAATGTTGACTCTACCTCCTGATTGGACATAGACATCAAGCTTATGAGATTTCTGCCATGCCAACCTCAATGGCTAATACTCAGGGCTGAACCATCCAGATGTTGGCCTCCTCTTGCCCCATGTCCTCCTCTTCTTCCTCCTCTTCCTCCTCCTCTTCCAAAGGTTCTTGGGTCCTGAGGGCAAGCTCACGGAGGAAGTCAGGTTCATGAGCTGAGTTCTGGGAGGCGGACTTGAGGCCGATCTTCTTCTTGGTTAAATGGAACTGGTCACGAATGAAGTTGTAAAAGTCGTACTCGTACTTCATCCTTTGGTAAAGCACCTGCAGGGCCTCTATAGTCGGCATGTGCTTCTTCACTGTGCCTGTAAGGTTCCCCATCTTCCAGAATGCTGCAGAGAAATCAGATTTACAAAACTATGAGCCGCAGACAAATCAACAGTGTGTGATTTAAAATAATTTAGCACAACACAGTTTTAATGTGATTTCACTTTTCCATAACCTTCTCAGAAGATTTTTATTTTATTTCTTACACATAAATTCAAAGCAATTGAAAAAAAAAAAAAAAAAAAAAAAAAAACACACTTGGACTCTTGTAGATGCTTAGGACATCACTAAAGTAGTGAGGTAGGAGTCTCTCCAGCAGGAGCAATACATCCTCCAGCTCTTCCAGAATCCCAACAAGTAGGAAGTTCTCTATAACGTTTTGTTTGGCCCTCTCCAAAGCCCAAACTCCAGGCTCTCTGAAGCAGACAAAGAAAAATTACGTGAAAACATCCAAATATTTCAGTTTTCAAATACTGAAGAGATTATCTAAAACAGAAACCTGTGTGATGCTCATTCTTCAGTGAAACAGAAAAAAAGATTTTTGGTAACCAACAAGTTTTGGTTCCCATTGACTTCCATTGTATTTTTTTCCCATACAACAAAAGTCAATATAGGGAACTGAAACTGTTTGGTTACCACCAACATTCTTTAAAATATCTTTTTTTGTGTGTGTTTTGCAGATTGCAGAAGAAAGAAAATCATGCAGCTTTTGAACAACTAGTAGGTGAGTGAAATTGCAGGGTAGTAATAAAATCTGCATGATTTCAAAACATCGATTTTAACTCGATAATCTTTACATATAGCGACACACATGCACATATAAATTAATTATAAAACACTCAACGCTAATACCCAACTGAGGGTCATAATTACCTGCACTGAGGGTGTTGTCCACAAAAGTATGGAACAATGTAAAAGAGGCGTGGGTTGGAGCACTCCGGGTAGTTCTCCATGATGCAAACGTTAATGTCCTGCAGTGGAGACATGGGGAAATAAGTCAGACTGACAGAGCAACAGCCAAAAAGAAAGCAGCACATTGAACAAAAAATATGAAATGTGCTTATAAATGATAGACATGCTCATTTTCACTGTATGCTTTAGTACTGTAGCAGCCCCATCCAACGTAGCACCAATCAGTTCTAGTGAACACAAGGGGGCACCACTTACACAAGCAACGAAACAGTCTTCTGAAAGCTATGAGACACCACTGACGGTACATCCAAAACACAAACAATCACTCATCTGTGATGATATTTTATCACTTTATTTGATCCCAAAGCTATAAATCAACATTGGGAACATTAAATGGGAAAATATGTAATCCATGGATACTCACATGCACAACACACAAGAGGAGAGGTCTATGAAACCAATGTATTTTATTTCCATTTTTATCTAGCAAAAAGAAACCTGAGATAAAAACATGGCAATTCTCCCTCTCCCTTGTTTAATTATCAAGACTACAATACGTGAAGTCCTCAGAGAACAATATGGACAAGAATAAAAAGATTATATGGAATAACAGGGGAGAAGACGATATGAAGTTTTCCTCCAAACAACAATGCAGCCAGCGTTGCTATAATGATGATACTACGTGAGAACATATTACATGCTGAAAAGAAGTTGTTTCTTGGAAAAGAGGACAATTTGTCAAGTTAACAGCCTCGTCTCTAACTCGTGCACGAGAGAGGTTAAGTAAAGACCACATGGCCACAAGCCTCCAGACGCCACGGACTCCTTCCCTTTCACGAGCCCCAGGTGGGGGAATCACATGCAAGTTGTGGGTCTAAAAGAGAAGGGCCCTCATGCTGGCAGGTAGAAAAACATACTTCAGCGTTAATCTTTCACCGTACAATGGCCTTTACACATGCCAAGTATGAGTCGATTTGTGAACATTATTTATCCGCCTTTATTTATTAAGCCCTAATTCAGGAAATTAAAAGGTCCCCTAAAGGTGAAACTCGTTTGCAATACATGTTGTTTAGTCTGGAATATTTTAGAAATTTGCTTTAGGATTATCTCCATATCCTGACCATTAAAAGTATGAAGGTTTTTTAATTATCAGTTACTTTCGAATATTAATGTTTCTGTTAGTTTCTCTGGTTTTGTTTGACTCCTCAAAATGGTGGGTGATTTATGTAATTAAACTGTAGACTTATTTTTTTTTGAGACTTCAGACTTATGAGACTTATTGTGCTCATTTTTAAGATAGTTTTAACTTTCAGTTTTTAAATACCAATCAGCTGGCTTTTTTTAACGGCCCCCCTCCCAAATTTATTTATTTTTTTCAAATTTTTAAGCTGATTTTACTTCCAGAGTTTCTGGATAGGAAACTGCAAACTGTTCAAAGAGCTTTAAACGATTCCAGAAGATGAATATCATCAAGCGAAATGATCGCTCATTTAAAAAAAAAAAAAAAGTTTAAGTTAAGCTCAAATGGTCGCCTTGCTCTGTTCTGCGATGAGCGTTCGTGACTCTCCTGTTTGAACTCTTTTATCAAAATGAACGAATCTTTTTTCGTGTCATTTGGTTCATTCAACAAACTAAATGAACGAGTTGACTCGGGAAAAGATTCGTTCATTTAGATAACTGTTTGATGAGTCACGAACGCACATCACAGAACAGAACAAGGCGAGCATTTGAACTTATAAAACTTAAACGTTTCGCTTGATAAGACCCTAATTCATCGTCTGAAATCGTTTAAAGCCCTTTGAACAGTTTGCAGTTTGCACTGAAACTGTCTTTTGGACCTTGAACCGTTTGGTTCCCATTGAAGTGCATTACATGTAAAAAAAAAATCCTGGAATGTTTTCATCAAAAACCTTAATTTCTTTTCAACTGAAGAAAAAAATGACATGGATATCTTGGATGACATGGGGGGTGAGTAAATTATCAGCAAAAGTTTTTTTTTAAAAAGTGAACTACTCCTAAAGGCTTTTTAAGATTATGATAAACAAATATAGTCAAATGTGTCCAAACATTTGACTAGACAAAGGCTTGATATCTTGTCATGATATACATACCGGTAGGTATAAGCAATGAAGAAATTACGGTAATCATGAACATTGGTGCAATCCAAGCATCAATGTTCATAATTACTGTAATTTATTCATTGCTTCTACCAATATATGTCATGACAAGATATCAAGCCTTTGTCTAGTCAAATGTTTGCTTAAAACTTAATTCACTGATTGTGAACTAAAGCTAAAAAACAAACAAAAACCAGATTGTTGTGTTCATCTTTCTTTCACTGCTCTCTAAACGTGTTCATTTGTTGACAATATCAAGCTGATGCACTGGCGATTCCTTCAAAGCAGTGGAGCTTTAGGAGGGCCAGTTCCTTTAACAATACTCACTCTGTGTGTATCTGAATAGAGTCTAAAAGCCAAGAGCGCATCAATGTCCTTTCATCCGCATCTCCACTCACTCCCAATGGAAACACATACAACTCTGATGGATATGCACTTTGAACACAGAGATGCTATTGCTGAAAAAAAAACCAAAACAAGTAAATGTCCCATTTGGACTTCTGTTGACTTTTTCGGTTTATAAAAAGGAAACGAGTATTTAAGTACAGAAAGCCAGATGGTCAAAAGGGTAAATGTCTGCTGAGAACAAAAGGAACAGAAATGTCATCCTCTAACAGATCACCAATTACACAGCAACTTACAGAACAACATCCTCAAGCCCTGAAGAGATAATGGTGCCTTAAAGCTGAGCCAGACATTTAAAACAAACAATTCAATGAGGAGAAAGATGCTTGGTGGAGTGGAGAAAAAAAAAAAGTATAAAAAGAAAAAAAAAAGGTCTTATGTTTGAACTTATGAAATTACATATAAATAGTTACAGCAAATGTCTAGTGTGCTTCTGGCAAACAACCAGAGCAGTAAAACCAGTCAGTGTTTCTCTCTAGAAGGACCCACTTCAGCTCAGGTGACACACTTATTTGGCCTTCTGTTCTTGATTCAGTCCCAAGGTGGCCATTTCACTAAGCACCTAGGAACACAGCCATTTACCCCTAAACTATACCTCCAGATGGACGTTACCATGCAACATACTTCTGCCTCACACGGAAGAAAGCATTTTTCGGCAAATAAGACATTTAAATAAATTTTTAAAAAGCAAATAATAAATACTGGTTACTGTATTCATAATGCTTGGCTGTATTTGAGCAAAGCAGAGATTAGACGAGATGATCAGTAATAATAGGAGACAAGAAGTCAATCTGCCAGAGAAATACACACACACACACACACACACACACACACACACACACACACACACACACACTCTTTTCAGCTTTAATATTTTTAGTGATTAGTAAACATGGGCAGTACTACAGCTTTGAAGGTCTGCCAGCATACCACACACAAAAACTGTTTTTTTTTTTTTTTTGTGAGTAATGACCTTATAGAACAACTGAGTTTGGCATTGGCGCAAGTACATTGAATTTTGATCAAAAGTGACAGTAGAGACATTTACATTTTTACCAAAGATTTCTATTTCAAATAAATACTGTTTTGAACTTTCTGATCAAAAAATCCTTTTCAGCTTTGCCATTACATAATTGTTAAAAGGAAACCAGCTTGTAAAATTCCAGTCACAGCAAGTGAAATAGTCCTATAGTCCTCAGATTATGGGGAAATTCCCAAGTACGTCATAGATTATTACAATTAAACTAAATTTAAAAGGAAAGATAAAAAAAGAAACTTCAATAGCATACCGTCTGAATGCTCATTCTTGACAAAGTGCCCAGCTATTACAGACACATAAATCAAGTAAACAGATATGTTTAGTGTGAGATAGATCACAAGCCACCGTAATCCTAAACTATAAAAACAGAGATGTGGTTAACCAGGCCTCCAGGAGGAGAGACGATCTTAAGAAGAGGTTAAGTCCCTTATGGTGAAGGTTTGATTATTATACAGTATATATTGTAGTCTCTCATTAGCTAAGATAAGTTCAATTCCTACCGTAACAGAACTGCTACTGTCTGTCACATGTGCTCATTTAAGATTATAAATCATATAACAATTAAATTAAAATGGTTAGTTGTGGAAGATATTTGTTAATTATTTTTTAGAAATGTAGTGTGATATGGATTTAATATTATTCAAAGTGAGTTAGCAATATTTTTAATCTATAAAGCAAATTAAAAAAAAAACTGTCCATTAGTATTCCCATTCATTTTAAATGAATTGTCATCTTTGCTCTTAAATGGAAGTAAAATAATGGCAAATGATTTTGAAATAAAAAAGCTTGTTGAAAAAATATTCATTGCATTAACCATGCTTGTATTTTAATGCATCGTATTTTTAGGGCTTGCATTTTATGGTATTTTTATGATTTTATCATAATATTCCCTTTTTGAAAGTCAATAACCTTAATTTCACTAATGACCATAATTGGTACTATAGTAAATACACCAAAAGTTTGGGGTTGGTATGATGTTTTAATGGTATTTAATTAAGATGTCTCACCAAGACTGCATTTAGTTATCAAAAATAAATACAAGATAAAATTTTAAATCACAATTGATTTTTTATATTTAAAATATAAAAAAATGCTCTATTTGTATATATTTTAAAAACTAATTTATTCATGTGATTGTAAGATTGTAAGACTTCAGAGTGACATTACAAAAAAATATTAAAATAAAATAAGTTGCCTTTTACCTAGTTGTTAATGTGTTGGTCTGTCTCAGTGTTATCTTGTTTCATACATTGTGATCTGAACCTACGAACTGAACCATGCTAACCTGCCAGATCTTGACCCCTACTCTCAAGAAATATTCATAGATTAATCTCATTTCACCGGGTATAGCATAAATTAACAGAGAAAGCGGCCTGGACTGAATTGACTAGAAACCTGATCAAGAAAAGGTCCTAGTTAATGTTCCAGATTAATGCGTGTCTGGGAAACTGGCCATTTATGTTTTATGAAAAACAGATATGAGCCATAATTCTGTCACAATCCTTAGTCGACTGAAGTATCTTTGAGCGATGCCAAGTTTTCATATGATTGTCTTGAGTTTCATCATTTATGTCGTTTTTTTTTTTTTCCAAATCAGTGGTTAGAGCATTTAGCGAAGCAAATGACTGAAAAAGAAAGTATGACTAATCAATTCCTGAACATTCTGCTCACATTGTCTGAGCTAATTTCCAAACATACAGCCAGACTCTTGCACCCACTCTCACAAACACTCATTGTGCAACAAATACATTCCCAAGGAGAAATAGAGTCCGCTGCTATTTTCTATGTAAACTTGTGTACATAAGTACATCAGTTTGAATAGGTAAATTACAAGTCTTACTATGTTGCAGTACACTAATCTACTTGGTTACTCAAGTAACCTCAGTTCCCCGAGTTAGGGAATGAAGTATTGCATAGCTATACGCAGAGGGAAAACTCCTTTTTCTTGATTTACTGAAACCTATATGTAAAACGCATTTGCAGCTGCACAGCTAGCCCATTGAGGATCTGGCTCACTCATAGGCTGTGCTGCAGCAACTGCACATCCAATGGCGCAGACGTCTCACTCGAGATCACTCTACATCATTACACGTCAGAGCCTGTCAGGGGGCGTGGCCTCAGCCTATATTAGTCCCCGAATTAGCCATTATAGCAAGTTTTTATGACTGAAGCGACAATGTAACCTAAACACAATGAAATAATTTTGTACTTTTTACAACCTGTAACATTTTCCTCACACATTACATCTCAAGCATGCTCTTGTATCCTTGCTCTAACTTTAAAAATATATATATATATATTTGGGGCAATATAATTTATATGAAAATTAGGAAGAAGAATTTAGGAAGAACAATTTAGAAAGAGTCTCTTACCAAATATCTCTCGTCATCTTTCATCTGGGGTGTGCGGATCAAGTGATTCTGCTCTCCTCTCCAGTCCCCAAAACGACGAAAAAAGTAATTGGAGAGGAAACGGTTAATGGGATCCCTGATGATGTTTATATAGACAGGCTGTTCTATCCTAAACCTGAGAAAGAAACAAAGAGAATGAACACTGAATCCATTACTAATTTAATATCTTTATCTTGGACCAGATCAGATCATATACATTCGGATAAATAATTTCTGATTTGCTTACCTTGTGAAATTGAGAAAGTGAACATGCCTGGTGTAAAGAAAAGGCTGTGGAATAGTGCTAATGTTTCTCATCAAATCCACCTGGCAAAAAATCAACACAAATAAACTGAGATCAAAATGCATGTTACATAACTGTTCATGAGCATCTCTTCATTTAACAACACTGACAATTATGATAAATCAAAATAATAGTGTGGGTGCAACAAGTTACAATCGCAGAGCACACACACAATTTTTTTTTTTTTTTTTTTTTACAATATTTTATCCACTAGAAGCATCGGCTGCACGACATAAGTATATACTTCCTGTTGTGATTTTTTTTTCATTAATAAAATAGTAAACTGTATATTAAACGAACCATCTAACCTTTTAGGCTTAACAGGCTATCAATTGTAACACTCTGAAACACAATGTACTAAACTACATACTGTTCTGTGTTTTTGTTGTATGTTGTGTTGCCATACTTTGACTTTGGTTGTGGGAGTGTATAAATAACAAAAATGGGAAATAACTTGTGATCATGAAGTACCTGGTAACAGAAGGGTTTGCATATGAAGAACCAATCAAATTGTAGGGAAATTATGTAATGCATCATGGCATTGTTGCCATACCCCTATTCTATAAAAACTTCTTCTATAAAAATGCTTCTTCTAAGGGGAAGTTTTCTGAGAAAATGTCTAGAACTCCCATCCGGCCATGATTAAAGCATTTAGACGACATTTGCTGAAGCCTGTCTGTTAGCAAGTTAGAGTATAGAATTAGACTCAGCTAAAGAAGTCGACTGTAGACTCGCTGAAGGGGGACGTCGATTATAGAGGAGACCCAGGTACGTAGTTAGGTTTAGGGAAAAATCTGTCACACACAAATAAATAAAACGCTTACAAACAAATGAATTACAGGGTATATACCAAATTAACTATAATTAATTAAAACTGCTGTCTTCAGTGGCTAGAAAACAATATTTTTTTCAGCCACAGCATTGGATCTATTTAAAAAAATAAATCATAAACGATTTGCAAGTAGTTTCAAAGTGAATTTCAGAATCACACACACATCTTTATGGGGACTCTCCATAAACATACAGTTTTTACAGTCAAAAACATTATATTCTATCCCCTCTAACCCCTAAATCTACCCATCCCAGAAAACTTTCTGCATTTTTACAAAAAAACAAACAAACAAAAAAAAAAAAAAACTCATTCAGTTTGATTCATGAGGACATAAATTTAGGTCCCCACGGTGACAAGTTCACATGAGGCGGTGTGCATTTAGGTTGAATTCCCCACCGGGACAGAAAAACAAACTTAAACACACACACACACACACAAAACATTCTTCGCGTGGATGGTACGTGGTGCAGTGGAAAGAAGCTGACTTCTCATTACCTTAATGTTTCCTAATGAGGGCCAGCTGGGGCCCCAGTCAGCTCTGATGTGTCTCTAAATGCATGTTACAGTCTCTACAAACATACCTATACAGGCATAAGGAGACTTAACAATCTCTATAACAGATCGGCATACGAGGGGCGGGATGGCGTAATGCAGGTCTGGTGTGCCAGGACGGTATGTGTAGAGTGCAGCACTCGACAATAGCTTCCAGAAGTTTCTGGCTTGGAAAAGACCACCCTCAGAATTGAGATTTCATACCGAAATCTAAACCTCTTTATACCCCACATCTCCGTCGAACAGCTTACCACACTGTAACAAGTGCCCCACTTAAGCTTTAATCTTTTATCAAACGCGGCATATCAAAGCCAAAACACACATTCTGTAACATCCTGGAGGTAGTGACATCATCTTAATGAGATTTCCTGTGAACGCGTATATGGGCACTGACGTGGCCATGCAATGTACAGCTAAAGTAATGATATACGAGGTGTTGATAGAACCACATCATAAGTAACACCACCTCAGGTTGTGTAACACTGGGTAAGCAGTCTGTGGTTTGGTGTTTCGAGGCTAATTAAAAATGTGCAGGTCTTATTATAATGACATGCCAGAATAAACATTAAACATTAGTGTGACACGATGCTTTATTTTGCTTACGAATACACAGTTTAGGTCAATTATAAAGTTTTTTTTTTTTTTTTTCTAAAATGTTTTAACAGTTAAAGGATTTTGGTGGAAAAAGTAACAGTTTCCACAAAAATATCAAGCAGCACAATAAGATTAATAACAATAATATATAACTAAATTAAAAAAAAATCATAACAAAGTATCTTTTAATCTAGTTGCTGAGCAGCAACTTCTCAGGTCAAGCACAAGAACATTAACTTTAAACAAACGTATCTGGAATAGATGAACACTGATGGTTAACAGCAGAGTGTTCACAATTTTCATATTTGTTTGAATATGAAATACCCCTTTAATGACAAAACCTTGTTCTACACGATCATATTATGATTGTTTAATTGTTTAATTTGTACTTGTCTCATTGAAAGCTCAGACTGAACATTCCCTTTATATGCACAAATAAACTTTCTTCTTTAAATGAGAGAGTTTTATGACCCTTGTCCCACAGAGAAATGTACATTTGGTTAGGAGACTCTGCAGATGCTCCAATGCTACAAATAGGTCATCAGCCACAATCACAGCTTTCAGACAGAGAAAACAAGGACTGGAAAGCCGAGGGGTTAATTCTCCAAGCAAGATCAATGGTTTATTAAATTTCACTTGTGTAAAAATGATACAAATCAAAACAAGATTATTTTATGGAGTTAAGATTGGTATTTTATGTTCAGGAGACAGAGTGCTGTCCCACTGGATCATACGACACCTTCACACCTTGCAGTAGTTTCACCAACCAGGTATAGATATTTGTTTATGTAAAATTCCACGATAAATCATCTCAGTCTCAAACCGAACACAAAAGAAGATATTTCAAAGACCGTTGGGGTCCAGATGTCTTTAATTCTATGTACAAAAAGATATTTTGAATAACTCTCTTAATAATAATGAAAATCAGCACAAAAACAATAGGGTTTCATCACTTCGTGCTTGAACCCCTAATAAGACACCTTTTTGATGAGTATAGCGCCACCTATGATCCGATTTCCATGAAACTTGGCATGCTTCCTCGCCATGATCTGACACATATGCTCATCAATTTTTGTGAAGTTCCGACTTTTCCTTTGGCATTTATTGGCTTTTGACTGTATTTTGATACAGACCACAATCTAAATGACCCTGTTACAGCCAACCAAAATTTCAACTTCTCTTCAATAATTACTTATCTAGAGAGATATCCAGAGAATAGGCCTAGACTGGTTTGGTTCCAATGGGGCAAAAAAAAAAAACATACTCTCTTTCTCATCTTTCTGAACACACACCACCGTTTAGGACAGTTAGTCTTTCTGATGGGAAAGAAACCTGTATGTGTTCTGAGCTAACTCCTGTTAACACACACATTTATTATTAGCTTTGAGTATTTACCGTACATCTAACCAGTTTACACATTTGAAAACCTATGAATAATGTATCACTATAATGTAATCTACAGTTCTGGAAGGTCCCATGCTGTCCAGAATTATGAGTGTACTCTGGGATATACAAGGATATAGTCTTCATTTTCATGTTAGTCACTTTCATTTCACTCCCCCACTCAACAAACGCATATGAGTGTTATTTAATCAGCTTATTTATCTAAGCTTTTCATAGGTTGAGTTTAGCTGTGTGGAGGTGTGGTGGCTTGACTCTACCCAAATGGGATGACAGAATATTTTCTTTTCCTCTCCGCAAAGGAAGAAAGTGTGTGTTTTTCTCCACAATGAGTGCCATTCGGATGTGTTTCATTGCCGCTGGCATTCAGTGAGCATTTCCCTTGGCAAACACCTTTATTTAATCACATCAGCAAGTTTTCACAGTATGTTTTTTATATTAGTGTACTTTACAACTTCTCGGAGACATTAGTTGCCTCAGACACACTCACCCATCCACTGACCTGCTCATGCTTTGTGAGTCTGGTTTTGTTATGGATGTCAGAGGACACCAGGTTAAACTGGTGCTTTTCTGCCAAAATCCTCAGCAGCAGGACAACTGTCCGACTTCCACACTTGCCAACCCTGTTGTAGATCACCTGGCTTGGGAATGGCAGCTCCTAGAGACACAGGCATTGAAATACATGGTTATTAGGAAGAAGACGACGACTTTATGTATGTTCCTGCAGGCCAGCATCCTAAATGGAACTGGGTTTGGAGAGATGCTCTGTCCCCTCTGTGTATGTAATATGAGAAACGCTCCAGAGAAACAAATATTTATGTCAAAAGCAGTCTGTGTGTTTATGTATGAATGTGTGACATGATTTTCAACTTCACTACAGCAGTCACGCTCACTTTTATTCAAGTCTGTACATACACCCCTCCTCCTCCCTGGAGTCTCGGGACTCCTTCAAGCCTTTTATTATTTGGTCTCTCTCAGTCTCACACTCCATAATGTGGAACTGCCCTCTCTCCCAAAACAACAAATGCGTTCAAGTTCAGAGAGAATGCCCTCTTTTCACCTCGCACACACATAAGAGGCCTTGTTTGAGCCCAGCTGCCTTGCCATTTCTCCCCCATCCTGTTTTCCTCCATTGCTCTCCCTCTCTCGACATTTAGTCCTGTCTCACTCTTCTTCTGAGATACATCACGCTTGTATATATGTCCGTCCTACTCTAATGCAAAATAGATGCATCCTGCTATTTTTAGATTGTTACGTTTCAGAAGCCTTTATAGATCCATATTTAAACTAAAAAAATATATATATTACTGACCCCAAACTTTTAAATGTTCACTTTTTAAATGAACACTTTTATTTACAAATATGCATTACATTGATCAAAAGTCAAAGTAAAGACATTTACATTGTTAAAAAGTTTCTATTTCAAATAAATGCTGTTCTTTTGAATCAAGTAGTATATGGAAAAGTATTAAGCAGCACAACTGTTTTCAACATTGATAGTAAGAACATCTTCTTGAGCACCAAATCAGCATATTATAATAATTTCTGAAACATTATGTCACAGAAGACTGGAGTAATGATGCTGAAAACTCAGCTGTGCCATCACAGGAGTATATTACATAATATTAACTATATTTTTCCTCAAACACATGCAGGCCTAATACTTTAGTTTCGACCTATTTCTCTCTATTCTGGCCTTCAGCACACTAAGACGGTGCTTTTATTAATGAAAACAAAGCTTTTTGAAAACTTTTTTTCGATATAATTGAAAACACCGTTTTCACATTGTAGTGTGGACTGTGAAAACTGAGGTATTTTAAAACGATGAAGCACGTTTAGTCATGTGACTTATATTGTACCGATAGATATTCATATTTAGTCGGTATTGTGCTTGTTATGGGTTATTCACTTTCACGTGACAGTTGCTAAAATATGTTACTTTGCGCACTCTTGTCTTCATATCACAATACTGCAAAGATGACAGAATTTAATCGCATTTGTGGTCCTGCGGAGAAACATGAGAAACAGTTGCGTTTTAGACCAAACATATAATGGTGAGTGAGTGCGACCAGGACGCATCAGTAAATTGTGAAATATTTTGCTAAATAAAATGATGGTTTACGCATGCGCCGTAAGTTGAATTTAGCGACTTCCAAAGTTTCAGTGTGGATGGGAATTATTTGGAAAACTCTAGTGGAGACTGGAGCTAACATACTGTAGTATTTTTGTAGTATGTTTGTGTGCAAGTATGTTGAGTTCTTGTTAGATCTGTAAACGTCTGTTCAGAGTTTGAGTGTTTTCCACAGCTGTGAGGTGTTAAAACTGGTTGTTATCATTGCTGGCTTTGAGTCTTTTAGTAACTGTGGGGGTTTCAGCTACCAAAGACTTCACCAAACTAGACGGATCCACACAAAACATTATTACCTACCTTACTTTCTTATTCAGGAAGTCATCATTTGTTTAACTCTGAGCTGTAAAATTTTATACATACTACACTATATTTATACATAGAAAGCACAAGTGTGTGTGTGTGATTTCAATCACATTCTTGTGCACATCTGGTCTCTATGGTAAGATATAAATTTTTTTATTTTAGGTTAACATTGCTTAAATTCACTTGTGATTATGGCAATCTGTTTTAAAAGTTGATAAAGGCTGGATTAATAAAAAACAGTGGAAGAAATAGTAAAGAGTAGTATGCTACTATGCTATTCTGAAGTTCCTAACCCTGAGTACAGCTCTGTTAGCCAAGCAAATCAGGTCAAAGCAAATATAGGTTGTCTCTAAAGCAAATCAAGCTTGACCACTATAATTAAATATGTATGTTTGAGTCTCTTTCTATTTCAGTTTCTGTCTTTGGACAGCTGCTGATGCACACACTCTCATCTTTGTCCATCTTTGTGGCTTAGGTCGAAGATGAGCATTTTGAGCAGTCCACAATCCAGTGAAGAAAATCTTGTGTCTCCTCTTTATTATTCTTATCTTCATCCACTTTTACTTGCGATCGTATCTTAATAGGATTATTAAATATAAATATAACTAGACCAAATTGCCATTGTATAGAGAAGATAACATTTACATTTAGTCATTTAGCAGACGCTTTTATCCAAAGCGACTTTCAACTGAGGAATAAACCAAGCGAGTCATCGTGAAGATGCAAAAACAAAACTACTATTACTACAAAACGTTCCCTTAGACATTGTTAAACCCTCAAAAAACACAAGTCGCTAGGGGAATATTTATCAGAATGTTTTAACAAATATTACTGCTCTCAGGGGGCAGGTTATTGCATAAACTGTAAATAAAAACTTATTTTACAGAGGCATTGAGGCCTCTCGAGTGTATATTCAATACAGGAAATGTCCATTCTTATCACAGAACAATCCCTCTAGTTAGAAACAATAAAACGTACTTAGTTTGTACCATTTAAATTTGAACAACGGCATCATTAAATTCTCCTGTTCTCTTCTGGACTCATTTGTAATATGCGAGTGCCATGACACAATACGATCAATGAATCATCCCAGCATTCCAAAGTCTCTGAATCATTTGAACCCATTTCATCAGAGACACACACACACACACACACACACACAAAACAAACAGAGAAAACCAAAAAGGAAAATATCAGCGCAGAGAAATGAGTGTTACACTCTGGAGTTATTTTTGACCACAAAACACTGATTAGAACACTAAACATACAATCCCAGTAATAAATCATTTGACATCTACAGGGAAATCGAACCAAGTTCACTCGTCTCGAACATGTAACAAGTGCTTTGAGACTTGTCTTAAAACAACTGTCCTGCTATAACACGTATAATAACTCCTTTTTTCAACAAGTCTCTATAAAAACCATTGACAGACCACAGCAATGGCTTCAACCCTACTATTATGAAATGGACCCATCGTTCATCCTCTGAGCAAACCCAGCTGAAACTTTCACTGAGCTTAACCTCTTTTGCAGAGTGCGTACAATGACACTCCTCTTAAATCAAGCTTTTTCTTTCCACTCATTCCATTTCAGTCTCTAATCTGGGTGTCTACGATCAGAGTTGTCCTCTTCGCAGGAAATGCTGATAAGATTAGTTTTCATGAGTGTGTGTGTGTTAAGTTTACTTTCTCAACTGCTTGTTTTGCCCTTTTGTTGACCCAGAAAATGTTACTTTCTTAACAATTTCCCTGCCAGCTAGGGCTGTCGTGTTTATGGAATTTCCCTTGCGGTAATGTTGAGTGCCTCAATAGCACGATATTACCATAGACAGTAAAAGAAATGGACACAGCGACGCCATTGATTTCAAAAGAGAAAAAAAGCTGATAGCCAGGCGCTACTGAGCAAGCTCAAACTGAACCTGTCACGTGAGTAACCTGTATGTCATCTAGAAGCTGTGCCAAGGGAAATCTGAATAATTCCCTTCCGAATCTCACAGAGAAAGAGAAAGTGAGTATTGGCTGTCCATGAGCTAGAAGCAGGATCAACTTTATGACTCTCTATGGGCTTCTCCCTGGACTTTATCAGACTTTATGCCTCCACGTCCCCCCATTTATTATTTTTTAAAATAATAAATATTTTTCTTTTAGAGAAACTGACCAATACTGATACTGCAAGACCCAAGTGCGTGTAGAAATTGGTAGCTTAAACAGCAATGGTTTTGCCAGGCTGTGATTTAAACTGATAGCAACTGGCTATTAATAGAAAAACATTCAATATATACCACTCAAACTTCCTCTTTCATTAGGAAATACATCAACACAAGAAATAGAAATGCATTAGTCAAACCATTTCATGGGGTTGTTAAATGTGTATGTGTGTGTGTCACTGTCAAGTCTTGAAATGTTTTCCTCTAGTCTGGGAAGGCCAAAATAACAGGACAAAAGCAGACAGGGATGTTTTGTACAGTACATTTCAAAGGAAATGAGAGCAAAAAAGAGTTTGATAATGCAAAAAAAAAAAAAAAAAAAAAACTTACCCTTGGTGTGGGAGGCCCGTGGTCGTCAACAAAAGTGGATTCTCCTGTGAAGAAAATAATGTCAGAGTGAGCTGCTTACATAAAACATCTGTTATTTAGTAAATCATAAGCTTAGGGAACAATGCAGACAAAAATAAACTTTTTTAGCACATTCAGTGAAAAACTATATTTTGGAATAGAGCAGACTCAGCATCTGAGATGTATCTGCAATGAAATTCGCATGGGAGCCAGATGAAATCCACAGTGTGGAAACGGAAGTGCGTTTCTGTGGGTGTTAGAGAAACAACGCCTTCTGTTGTACAGCAGTATAGCTAAGAAGTAGACACTCTTTCATCTCAAACAAGGGTCTCCTCTTTAACCTCTCCAGATGGCATGCTGGAATCAGTGATGTTCTTCCTGTTAAAGGGATCGTTCATTCAAAACATAATTCATCATTTACTCACCCTCATGTCTTTTAAAACCTGCACAACTTACTTTTTCTGTGGAACAAAAATTAAACATTTATAGTGGAACGTGCAAGCTGCTCTTTTCAGTGAAAGTGAATGAGGACCACAGCAGTCAAGCAACATTTTCATTGAATCAACATCATAAGTTACATTTAAGTCTGTTTCTCATACAAACTATGGCCTTTAAAGTCATACAAGTCATATGATCATATGGATGGATCACTTATTATGCTTGAGCTGGTCTCCATTCACTTTCATTGTGTTGAATAGAACAGCTCAGATATTTAGCTGAACATTTCATTTTGTGCTGCATGCAAGAAAAACAGTCATTCAGCTTTGAACTGAGGTGCACTGCTCCTTTAATGCTATCTGTTTTGCTCTGCCTGTGTCCGTCCGCTGAATAAATAACCCATCCAGCAACACAGAGCTGCTATACTTCTCAGCCTATCTCAACTTTCCCAGAATGAGGCAGAGTAAAATGAATGAGATATTCATAGACAGAGATTGATGCATTCTCATCCTCAGTGCAAAACGTCATAAATCTTGAATACTTTTTCAGCACAGATACATCACAAACAAACAGAAGGAACAACAAAGAGAATGTTCTGTCCTAGACTGATGGTGGCAGTAATGCAACATCTTTCAGCATGTGATACAGCATATGTAAATAAAAGTAAATATACTTTCTTGAGACATGATTCTTGTGTTTACCGAATTATATACACTACCATTTAAAGGTTTGGGCTCAGTTTAACATCCTTACCTTTTATATGTCAAAAGAAATGTAGATTTTTCAATTCATGACCCCTTTAACAAATCGGATAGATATAAGATCTGCAAAAATGCATGAAGTGAGTGCCCAGGTGTAAACAAGCCCATTGATGTAGTTCAGAAGAGTAGAATTTATTTGAAATAGAAATCTTTAAGTCAAAGTCATTTTTTAGATAAATTTAATATGTCCTTGCTGAATCAAAAACTCAGTTTCTGTTTAATCTATCAGAAGTATCCATCAGATTTCATGTTCCTCATATAGTGGCTGTTGTCCCCACTGAGATCTTGTTAACAGGACCGTCTCTTTTTTTTCTTTTGCATTTTACAATGGGTGAATCTCCAGTTGACACTGATGATTGTCGTTTGAAACCTTTCTGGATCCGCCATCAAATTGATAAGTTTAATTATATCAAGTGTGTTTTGAGAAAAGGCTATAAATCTCCACCTCCAACATCCTCACACACAATATAGCCTACTAGCTGATGTACTACTACCTTCTTTACAGATGTGACGTAATGACGCAAAGACATGCTCCATTTCCTGAGGAAATCCACCAGTACCACTAGAATTAAAAATATTATTACAAGCTTATCGTTTTGAATCAAGCTAAGGCGAGCAGATAGTTTAGAACACTGGCTGGTTATCTACTTGCTCAAAAAAATTATTTGGGATCATTTTTAACCCCCAAAAAAGTTACTGACTTGTAGGATTACAAATTTATTTAAATGTTTAATTTAGATTTCCAATACAATAGTATTTTATATTCAGAAAGTTCATAAATGATGAGATCAGGAAATCTATATTCCAGACTCTCCTAATCTATCTGTCACCTGATGTTTTTAAGTTCCCATCTCAGTACGAGAAGTCCTGCCTTGTCCTGTTCTCATGTCTCAGCTCATTTACATGCTTTGTTTCAGAGTTTTCCCCCCTCAATGTAAATCCCTCCGCCTTAACATTTATAAAATTGCAATGTAAAGTTCTCTTAGTAAGACTAGACGATGACTGCAGCTACCAACAGCTTGTATTCTTAATAAAGAATCCTGATGAAGATGCAACAAAGTTTCCTGGTTTTCGCTTCTGAGTTTTCAAACACTTAAGAAGAAAAAAAAAAAACCCACACATATACATACATACATATATATATATATACATACATACATATATATATATATATATATATATATATATATATATATATATATATATACATACATATACATGTAATATTTAAATTAAGTTAAAAAGTAAATATTTAGAAAGTTATTAAAAAACTTGTTTTGTTTTTACTATATATTTATATATATAGTTTTATATAGTATATATTTATAAAAATATATATTTAAATATTCTGTTTTAGAATAAAAACATCATGTAAATGACTAGCGACAAACTCTTGATATAATTTGTTACATTTTCAGCATTACAATGTCTTTAAAACTGAATAAGAGTAGTACATGCTATACTGCTGTAAAAACAGGCCATTTAAGCCTCATAATGACCTTGTCCTAAAATGTACTTATCACTACTATCAGGATTAAGTAGTTTGTGGGGGGCTTGCTTAATTATCCACCAACAGCCCAATTGCCCTATTTACCCCCTATGCCGGCACCCTCGGACCAGGCTTTGGTCTGCATTGCACTTCATCTGATAATGGACCTTCATAACCCCTCAAAGCCAATTAGGACCTGCACTAACTACTCATCCCGGCTGCAGTCGTCTGGGGTCAGATTCTCAGACTCCAGGAAAGTCATTCAGGTCGCCAGGCTTGGAAATAATTGGAGACCAACGCAGCAGAAATGCAAAACATAAACAGAGGACTTCTGCAGTGATTAGCATGGGCCAGTTGCATGAAACATAGAGTGGGCGAAGGCTGGAAAGAAATCAAGCAGCGGTGCATTTCTGTCAACTATATTTATGGGTTGTGTTGAAACTGGTACAAAGCTTGCTTTGGTTATGAGAGGATCATTAATAACCTATAATTAAGACACAAAAAGTCATAATGACATTGATGGAAAAAGCCACTAACTTGGCATACTCAGACACTAAATTCCCCAGCAGGAACATTTAAAAGCAAAATCAATCATTCACATAAAGTATCCTTTTTTTGTCTTTCACAAAGCAAACCATTCTCTAAAATGGAATTTTAGAGAACCTGGCTTGCCTTAGGAATGCTGTTGTTTGTGTTGGAATTCCATAAACACATGCTTTCGGCATGTAATGTTTAATTAGAGTTATGAAATTGGTTACTCTTTAAAGTATGGTTTAGAGATTATGAGGAGAGCCAGAAATACTCCAGAGGCAGAAACAGGAAGCCACACAGGGTCGAAGTCTCAGTTGTGAGGTACACAAAACACAAAAGCCACTAGGCTATTTTCATCTAGTCTACATTTTCAAATCACATCCCGCAATAATCTGTGACCACAGGTAGAACATTCTCAAGACGTTTGCGTACTAAAGGAGATAACATGAAGATTAAAGCAAAAAACATTGGCTCTTGCTCAACATTCTTGTGAACTCAAAGTCTGGTTTGATCTGATTTTAGGGTAAAAGCAAGCCAACCATCCAAAGCAAAGTGTCAGCATGAACCTGTTGTCAACAGTCAGCCCTCAATTAAATAAATGTATAGACTTCCATTATACAGTAGACAGCATTTAAAGTGGATCAAAACCTTTCATCAAAGTTTTACAAACATTTTGAACAAAACGCATTCTTGTCTTAGGACAACTTTGATTAACTTTGAGCAACTTCAAATGTTGGCTACTTTACATATATGTGCATGCAGTCTCACAATAAACTTTCCACATATTGAACACCACATCAAAATTATTTCAGTATTCTTTTGTTGTTTCTTTTTTAACATTCTGTCTGGAAGCCATTGCCTTTAATTGTGCTGTGGATTCTAAAAACTTCTTCCAACCAGCCAAATGCGGGTGCACTTTCAACAGTGGTGCGTAAATGGCTCTTTGGCGAGTTGAATTTTTATGATATATACATTTTTCAATTGTAGTCTTTTAAAAAAGTAATCTGAAATAATTAACTAGTGCAATGTAGTGTTGTCAAAAAGAACATTTTTCAATACATATCGATACTGAAATATCTGAAATGCTTCCAATACTCGTTTTCCGCAGAATAGATACACAATACCAGCGCTTTCTCACAGTACTAAAGTATTGAGTATGAGTTCCTTTTCAATGCTTCTTGCACTCGAACAGCCAAATACACAAAATAATACCAAAATGCAGGTCTTGGTGTAACCCCTCACACCCGGGTCCAACTCGACCCGCTCCGAGCGGGCCTCGAACCCGGGTCTCCAGCATGAGAGTCAGGCACTCTAACAAGGAGGCAAAAGACTGCAGCCTCTAGCGTCTGTCGCTAGAGCGCCTATTGAGATCGGGGAGTGAGGTTTACTCACACAGCAACTACTAGCTGGCCTCCGTTACACTCACCCCCCTAAACCTCACTCTCATCCGGGTCACGGCACCAATGTAACCCCTCACACCCGGGTCCAACTCAACCTGCTACGAGCGGGCCTCGAACCCGGGTCTCCGGCATGAGAGTCAGGCACTCTAACAAGGAGGCTAAAGACTGCATCGCTAGAGCGCCTATTGAGATCGGGGAGTGAGGTTTACTCACACAGCAACTACTAGCTGGCCTCCGTTACATTGGCAAGTAATCATGTAAACAGTCAGTTAAGTGAACGTAAGCTGTTATGCACATGTAACAGTATAATGGGTCCGTGCTTAAGGCCATAAGTGACAGCAGTCTAATATACCTGCTGCCAAATTATGAGATGATATTTTAAAAAATAAAAATAATGTCAGTTTTTG